ATAATATGAATACAAGGTATATTTAGGTATAAAATCTTATCTGCTTAATAAACTATCTCAAAGTTATATTAACAGTTCATTGTATATTGAAGATATTTAATTAGTTTATCTAACTCGAATATCATTCAACAACTATATGAAGATGCCACATGCCAAGTAATTCACAATGGGAAGCTCAGTGATGACTTTGAAGTGAAGACAGGAGTGAAACAAGGTTGCCTACTATCCCCCATGATATTCCTTATTGTGGTGGACTGGATCATGCAGCAAACAGTGAGGAGCGATAAGAGGGGGATACGCTGGCTGGACTGCGGAAAAGAACCTAGAAGACTTGGATTTCGCCGATGACTTGTGCCTGATGTCACATAAACTTGAAGATCTGCAGGCAAAAACTAACAAGTTGATAGAAGAGGCGGGGCAGCGAAGACGGGACTTCAGGTGAATATAGAGAAGACAGAGGTGATGAAGATACCGCACCACCACCATCAACAACAACAACAAACTCCAGTCACCGTCAACGGGAGAAACTTAAAGGAAGTAACCTCCTTCACTTATCTAGGAAGCACTGTTTCAACTACAGGCGAGACGGACGAGGACGTCAAAGCCAGAATCGGAAAAGCAAGACAGGCGTTCATTAGCCTGAAACCAGTGTGGAGATCTTCTGCACTCAGCATGCGGAACAAGATACGGATTTTCAACACCAACTTAGTCAAGTCAGTGCTTCTGTGTGGTTCAGAGACTTGGCGCGTTACGAACAACAACAAACTACAGACATTCATCAACAACTGCCTACGCTCGCTACTGAAGATCAGATGGCCAGAATAGTAGGAATAAGCAACAAGGAGCTCTGGGAACGAACCAACCAAGAACCTATCACGCAACAAATATGCAGGAAGAAGTGGAGATGGATTGGGCATACACTGAGAAGGCCGACTGAGTACATCACGCTTCAGACCAGTCGCTCGAGTGGAATCCCCATGGGAAGCGACGAGTTGGGCGTCCGAGGGTGACATGGAGGAGGTCATGCGAGGAGGAAATGAGAGGTTGTGGGCTGTCGTGGAACCAGGTTCAAAAGATCTCAGAGAACAGAGGTCACTGGAGACGTGCTAGTGAAGCCCTATGTTCCACTAGGAACCCAAGGGACTAATAATAAATAATAATAATAATAATGATAATAATAAACTCGAATATCGTTTACAATAGGATGAATAAGTCGTTTCCTTATCCTCTTCAAATGACTTCGACTACTATACTTCCAATTGCTTGATCTTTAAATTTAATACTCGTCTCAGTATTCTATCATTTATCAAGTTAACAGTTTTAAAACTGTTCCAGCATTAGTTTATTTAGTCAATGATTAGCATGAAATGCAAAATTATGGTTTAGTTTCCATCTACTTTTATCCTATCATCTAGACAAAGGAGTATACTTCATCTACAGCAAAAATGTTTATAGTCAATTACTGGTTAATATGTTATTCAAAATATTTTGTGCAGCTGGTAACTGAAATGCCCTATATATTGTCTAATATTCACTCCTCATTATTACTGACCATTTCCTATTGATAAAGGTGACTCAAATATTGTTAAAAGTTTCACATGTAGATGTTTTATTTGTTGACACTTTTATCAAAAAAATATGTTTTTAAATAACTAAAAATTGCCTTTCGCTAATGTAACATCAAGATATTTCTGCTTTCACCTCCTGTGTAGACAGTTACATCTATTTTGTAGAGTATTAACATGATTTTGAATCTGCATTCATTATGTATGCTTTCTACAATTCCAAGTTTTAGGGACAACCTTAAGAAAAAAAAAGCGCAGTATGTCGATGCAGTATTTATGATTTAAGTTCGGAAGTTTGTTGGGATTTATCTGTTGATTTCAATTTGCTAGTCATCTTGAACTGACATCAGTTGGAGAAACAGTGCTCTCAGGTTCTCTCTAACTGATGCTAGTCCATGATGAATATCAACGTGAAATCAATAAATAAATTCCCATAAACTTTCAAACTGAATTACTTTCTAGTACTTAGTAGTAGCTTGCTTTGAGATAAGATTCCCGAATTTCTAATGAGAAATCGTGACTGGTAGCGCAAACCGAATTGAACGTGAGGAACAGATACTCAACGATGAAATTGAATGAAGGTCACGCCATATAGCGAGTGGCTCAATGATGGTGTACTCACTGAGGAACTTGAAGTTTGTGGGTTCGATTTCTGATGAGGTAGAGTGGGATCATGGGTGTAGGACGAACTGGATGTTGAATGCTCCCAGGTTTTCAATGGCTCTCCAACCGATACCAGTCCATGATAAATACCGATTTGTGATTTGTTTAGTTCAGCCTATTATGCATGCAGATATTGTTTTTCCTTAGTTAGACTAAGTGATACGTTAACATCATTAGTTGGATTCCCTTAGAATGATGTCCTACTACTTAATGCTCCTTTATAAGAAGTAAACTAACAATAGACACACCGTGGCCATATTTTGAATCATAAACTACGGAAATCTGAAAAGCAGCACCCATACTGTGTTCAAGGTTAATGATAATTCACTCAACACAGCAAAACAACAACACAGTTAGTAAATGATTCCGAAACCGTTGACTGATCACTGTTCAGGAAAAAAAAAGTGGCATGTGTACACACATTAACAAGACCACTTTAGAACATTCTGTATAGACTAAAAGAGGTATTGCCGAAGGAAGATGTAAATATATAATTTAAAGTGTCATTTACAAAGATTATGTACACTACTATGTCAACTTAATCTGCTTACTGGATAACTCAAAGAACTCACAAGTATAAACTAGCAGTGAAATTGCTGAATATATCCACCTTGGTTTCAGTGCACACAGTGGTAATCAAAAACTTTGATCGTAAGAAAATAGAATTCCTAGAATACGGAATTTCAGAAGATGCTGGTGAATTTTAAGAGGCCTGTTGTTCAAAAGAAACGTCAATCAACACATATATGGATAAAGACTTGTTCTATAATTTATTTAAGAATAAAATAATCATCCTTTACTGAAGTGAAAATTAAGCCAAGCAAATCAAGCATGCTGTCAGTGACAAAGACCATAATTTATACTCAAACATCCGTTCACCATCGTAACACATACACAGACGGACAAATCAACATAGAACTTAGGACAGAAGTACATCGGTTCAAGTTGTGACACTTCACAGTGGCATGCAAAAAGCAAGTGAGTAGAAAAAGATTAATATCAGAGTACATAAAGATAGATGTATGAGGTGAAAGGGAATATAAAATAAAGGTTAATCAAAAGAGCCAAGCCTTAGAAGACGTCAAAGAGTGAATACATCTGCGCCATTGTAACCGGTTTTCAAACGTATCACTAAAAATTCTTAACTACTTATTCCTATCGTCTCAGAGATCCTAGGTAGATAGGCAGTCTTCACCTCCGTAGTTGACTCAAACCAACAGTCAGAAATTTCATGTATTGGTGCCACGTTTTGGTCTGGCTACACTGAGCCTTCTTCTAACATAATCCAACTTCCTATAACATGGCATGTCGAGGTAGGCAGTAGATCGACATGCTAGCTCACGTCCAAGCCAACTCAGTCTCTGAAGGTTCACAACGTTATCGGTTGACTTGCCTGTCTTGCCTAGTACCCTTCGCCTAACCTCGATATTGCTCACATAGTGACCCCATGATACGCAATTTATGTTATGAAGACATCTGTGATTGAAAATCTGTAACCACTGCATGTCTTTCGCTTTTAACGGCCATTTTTCACAACCGTATAACAGGACAGAAGGAGCACTTAAGTTGCCCAAACATACCTCACGCCTTTATAAACTTGATGGAGATGAATCTATTGAGTGTAGTGACAAGAAGTTCATACTTAAACATCAAAGTTTCGAAAAAAAAATTGGCAACAGCCATTCCTATCCTGATTTGTAAATGTTTTTCATGTGACAATACAATACACTGTAGTTTACTATTCCATTTTAGAAATATCACACAGTGAAACAGTAGCATTTACTGGATAACGTTTCCGACACAATTTATTGTCCATATTCATATCAGGTAACCCCACAACTTCGAGACAGTCTTTATATATTCCTAGTTTTCTCTCCTCTGTGATGACAAGGGTAGTAGAATTTTCCTTATATCTGGGACAGGTGCAGCATCATTTCGATTGCATGTGTTTGGTGTTGATTCTATAACATAGAGATTCGGTTATCAATCTCTCCCTCCACCCAACTAAGTTACTTTTCAACACTGTCGCCTTATCCCACACTACTGTGTGGTTGTGTGTCATCGCATGTAGAGCTATAACCGAATTTTTCTCTAGATTTCTTATCTTATTAGGATCTACTGATCTTGATTTAGCCAAGTTTTTGTGCTCTGTTATTCTAATCGACCCTAGTCGACTGCTTTGATCTATGTACTTGACCTCGCAATCCTTGCAAGGGATTTGGTAAACCAGATTATTTTGCTTAATCGCATCGAGATGAACTAGGAATGGATTGTGAATTTGGTTTTAAAAAGGGATGAAAATCTCGAATTTTGGAAGGAGTTATACCGAATAATGAAAAAAATCATGGAAGTTTAAGACTAACAACTGCCTTCTTTTGGATGTATAAATTCGGTTTAATTCTTTTGATAGCTTATTGCTTCTGTGATCCTTAGTAACTTAGCATTGTTTGGTTTGTTAATTATTTTAAATGCTTTCGATATCTGGACATCGTATCCTGTGTCTATCAGATGTTTAGTAATGGAACTTTTAAGGCATTTTTGACTCCTTTAAGGTTTAACTTACTTGGAATATGTTCACGAAATTCTAGTCTCAACCCTCCTCTCTGTCCTTCAAATGATTTTTGGCATAATCCTTATTCTTCTATTGATCCGGTTCATAAGTTCAACGCCTTTAAAAAATCAGATGGAGAAACACAGGTTCCTTTTTTATCATATATATTGATTTAAAAGGCTGATTCTATTGTCACTAATATATATTTTCTTACTTTTTAGATTGCTCATCCTTTAATACAATCCTGCCTGTTACACTGCATTCATGCTATCTTCTTTGTCTCAGTTATCGGTCCAGCTCTTACACAAGTGAGTTCTAGCTTACTATCACATTTATTTTCATTGGTGAACATTTAAATATTATTTTTTCATTTAAATGATCTCATTTATTTAGTTTTCATCATGAATTAATATATATTTGAGATTTGTATTCAATGTTAAAGTTATTAATAGGATAACAGTTTACCCTGCTGTAAAAAAAAGCTATTGAAAACTACTCAGTATTAATCTTTAAAAAAAATCAATACTGATTGATTGTTCTTACATTGTGAACCACTTTCATGTTCACCTTAAGTTACGTTGAGCCTCTCACCCCCACCTTCCGGCCTCTTATCTAACCCTTAAAATTACTATTCAATTATCAACTATTGAAATAGCGGATTGGTAGTATAGGTGGTGTTAAGACTTGTAGGCTTTCTGATTAAAGTACTCTGAATGCTAAAAGTCCATGAATTAAGCTTCCAGTTCAACATCTTCAGACCTGCGCTACGTCTTTATTTACTCATTTAATCTTCACCTTATATAAGGCAGGAAAGAACCTAGAAGAGTTAGATTTCGCCCATGATTTATGTCTAATATCACACAAACTTAAAGATCTGCAGGCGAAAACTAACAAGTTGACAAAAAGAGGCAGGGCAACGAAGACGGGATTTTCTTCAGGTGAACGTTAAGAAGACAGAGGTGATGAAGATACCCAACCAACAACACCTTCAACAACAACAAACACCAAACGGGAGAAACTTAAAGGAAGTAGCCTCTTCTACCTAGACAGCATCGTTTCAACTACAGGCGGCACGGACTAGGACGTCAAAGGCAGCCAGGATCGGAAAGACAGCAAGACAGGCATTCATTAACCTGAAACCAGTGTGGAGATCGACTGCACTGCACTCAGCATAAAGCGTAAACAAGGTCCGGATTTTCAACACCAACGTAAGACAAGTCAGTGCTTCTATGTGATAGTTGAGAGAATTGGCGCATTACGAAATGGATTTCCAACAAACTACAGACATTCATCAACAACTGCCTATGCTGGCTCGATACTGAAGATCAGATGGCCAGAATAGTAGGAATAAGCAACAAGGAACTGTTGGAATGAACTAACCAATAACCTATCACTGAACAAATATGGAGTTGAAGGAAGTGGAGATGGACTGTACTGGGCATGCATGCACTGAGAAGTCCGACTGGGGATATCACGCGTCGGGCCATGTCGTCGAGTGGAAGCGAGATGGGAAACGACGAGTTGGGCGTAGTTCATAGGAGTTTCTAAATAGTCACTGAAAGTAGAAGTAGGTTCATTTTCCTTGATTAGTTTGTCGTATGAAATTGAGTAGAATAATCATTGCACAGTTACTCTTTGCAATTCTTGCACACCTCAACAATATTTATCCTTTATCCAATATGTTTTCGAGTCTAGAGTATTCAGTTTTCGTGACGGTCATGTTCAGTTTAACCTACTACATAGAAATTGAATTATTTTAGCACCAACTACTGCACAACTTGTCAAAACTTCCATTTTATACCTTTGGTTGAAATTCTTCCTGAATTCTGACAGAGTCATAGCTTCTAAATATAAGTTTTAAAGGTAATCACTAATACGGGCTAATCCTGTTCAATTTTTAAAGAAAAAAAGACGTGATACATTTGGTTACTGTTGTAATTGATAATGATGCTGAAGGAAAAGGTATGTCTTAAATCTCCACCTTTGAGAGACTAAGTAGTCTTGGAATAAAGCAGTCAGGCGACTTTGAGTGTTCTAACAAATCACTTTTGAAATTCAACACGACTTTCATCTTTACTAAAGTTTTGAATACCTTCTACTTATTTGTATCTTTCTGAACAGTTTTTTCTTTCGAGAATTTTTTTGCCATCTGATGGTATGGAAAATGGGTAGTCAATGAGATAAATACCAACAGCCTTGTGGAAACTGATCAATAAAGAATCTTTACTTTTTCAGAAGGCTGTTTGAAAACTTCAAGGGGACCGTCATCTGAATGATTTGACATTCAAAGTGGATTGTGGCACTGACCTCGTTGATACTTGTCAAGATATCACAAAATTTAAAGCTAAATGATGGTATCTATAGTGTTGAAAAGGATAGTGAAACACGTATTGATTGGTCACGGGAAAACGACCAATATCATGTTATGTAGTCCTGAGTGCAGACTGAATCCTATCGATCATATTTGCAATGTGGACACCAAGCTAGGTGTCTCAGCATCGCAATGCACATTAGTAGATGTTAGTTGGTTGGAGGCAATAGGCAGGAAGCCCTGAACCTAGGTTTCGTGCTTGTTGGCACTCATCAGCAAGGCGTATCTGCAACCTCGACGGAACTGATGTCCCTCCTGAGTCTCAAACGCGCGTCACCAACTAGCATCTACTAATGTGCATCGCGATGCTGAGACTCCTAGCTTGGTGGCCACACTGCAAATATGATCGATATGATTCAGTCTGCACTCAGGACTAGATAACATGAAATTGGTCGTTCTTCCGTGACCAATAAATATATGCAATCCAGTCCTACGGGAGGTCAGTCGCTGTCCGAATAGCTTAGTGGTAAAGTCGTTAATTGCAACACCGGGTGACGTGAGTGCGAATCTCAGGCGGGACATGAGTTCCGTGGAGGTTGCAGATACACCTTCCTGACGAGTATCAACAAGCATGAAACCTGGGTCGAAGACTTCCTGCCGATTGCCTCTAACTAACTAGCATATACTGAGACAATCAACTATACAGTTCTCTGATTCCTCTAGGAGAGTGCGAGTGTAACTGTTGCTTCGAAACCTTGCATCAGCTTGAAGTTCACATTCCTTCACCATCTTTTCTCATTTATATCTGTGCATTCTTTGAGTTTCTCACTTCCTCATCCAGTAATTCGAATAACGTTTGTTCCCTTGGTGGAATTTTGCGTTGTTTATAATAATCGTGAATTTATTTCATCAGTAGTGTTAGTCGTTCGATGAGTGGTAATTCAAATGAAAAGCATGGTCAGCAGACTCAATATGGTATAGTATCAAGGGCTGTCAGCAAGGCTCGAACAAAAGGGTTGCAAACAATTATTATTGTGATTCAATTAGTGTAAAAGTGACCAACTTGCAAGGACTCTGTCAGTTCCATCGAGGGTGGAGATACGCTTTGCTGACGAGTGCCTATATCTGAAGCTTCCCGGCGATTGCCTTCAACCAACTAGCATCTATCAATGTACACCGCGATTCCGAGCCTCCTCCTTGGTGACCACATTACAAAGATGATCGATAGAGTTCGGTCATGAAGTTGATTGATCTCCGGTGAACAATCAGAATATGCAACCCATTCTTACAGGAGAGCAATAGCAACTCGATTAGCTCAGTGGTAACGCTCCTGACTAAAACATTGTGTGAACCGAGTCCGAGTCTCAGGCGGTACATAAGTCCCGTGGAGGTTGCGGATACTCTTTGCTAACGAGTATCAACAGGCATGAAACTAAGGTCCAGGGCTTCCTACCTGTTGCCTGAAACCAACTAATACTTAAGCTTTTTGTACCCAACGAGATCAATTACTACCTCTCGAATATTCAAGATGAAATTTATTGTTTTAAAGAAAAGTGTACACCTTATCAACCCATTTCTTCAAGCACTTGTTAGTCTACATCCAAAAACACGAATAAATGACACTTGAACCCATATTTATGGTACTGTAGTTAATTTTATTTTTTTAAATCTTTAAGAAAAGGTATTAATGATTATCACAAGTGAAAATGAAATTTGAGAAAATCTTTACAGTCATGTTATGTCTCATGTTTTCAATTAGTTAAATGGTAAAATTGAACAGAGACTTTTTTTTAAAACATATGGTAATAATAAGTGAATACTGACTGTTTTAATTATTTGTAAGTAGTCTATCTCAACTCGCTACAAATCTATGTATTGTTCATACTTATCGTATACGAATTTATGATACTACCCGACAGGCCTACGTCAGAGTTGATGGACAGTGGGGTTTAAAATAGGGACCAATCGCTTGAATATTCATGTACCTAAGCCAATACTCTACATCGCCGTGCATGTTCTATGGCAGGAGATAATCTTAGTTATTCTGCAAACAAAGGTTTCTGTTCCTTGGATACGGAAGGCCCGTTTAGTATTTGTCAATGTGTCATCTCTGGCTCCGGTGATATATCCGACTACCTATTACAGGATGAGTATACTATGGTACTGTCCGTTTCGTCATGTCATACGGCTGTGAGAAATGGTTGTTGAACGTAGTAGATCTGCAGAGACTCCAGGTTTTCGACCACGGATGTCTTTGCAGCCTTGTTCGTGTGTTGCGAAATCACTATGCGAGCAGTGACGAGGTTATAAGTGGGGTACTATACATGGAAGACAAGTCAGTCGATGAGATTGTGAATCTTCACTGACTGAGGTGGCTTGGATACGTGTTGCGCATGTCAAGTCATTGTCTACCTAGACGTATTGTACTAGTCGAAGTAGGATTGGTGCTCGATATCTTAAAAGATCTTCAACTATCGATTAGTTAAACAGCACTGTGTACCAAAGGGGATAGCTAAAAATTATATGAACATCTTATTTATATCAAAGAGCTTATTTTCTTGTTGTTTTTCTGGATCGAATCTATCGACCTCTGATGACATATGGGGTCCTATGCGGATGCTTCGATATTGCCTGAACATTCATTATGCTATAATTGACTTGATGGTGGCTAGAAGTAGAATCTAGTAGGCGTGTTTCTTTCTATTTGTGTGTTATTAGTTTTGCTACTATTAATTATGATAATGGTAAATGCAGAAAAACTACAGCTGGCCTACTTTTTATCACTGGTTAGATAGTCATGCATTCCATTTTCACAGTGAATTTTTTCAGTTGTTTTTATTGCTGTTGTTGAGACACTGAAACTATTCAGTTGGTTTACTGCTGATAGAGACCAATATATATGGAATAAATTAGTGAATGGAGAATTTTAATAAGTACTTCCCTTATGTATAAAATATTTTGAGACTATTTAGTCGACCATTATGGTCGCTTACAGTA